TCACTTCTTCTCTATTAGTAAGAATTAGGTCCAGTATAGCTTTTCCTTTAATTCCCTCCTCTATCCTTTGGATGACAAAGTTGTCAGCTAAATTGCTTAGGAATCTGTTTGATCTCCCACTTGCTGCAGAGTTTGTCTCCCAGTTGATATCAGGATAATTAAAGTCTCCCATTACTATGGTAGTATGTTTCCTACATATATTTGTTAATTGATTAACAGAGTTCATCTATTTCTTCTGCTTGGTTGGGTGGACTGTAATATATGCCTATAGCCGTGCCATTCTTTTTTCCTTTTATATTGACCCATATGGATCATCCTTGGTTTTGTGCATTTATGTAGATACGTAGTGTTCTTTTATATATAATGCAACTCCACCTACTCTTTTGTTAAGTCTGTTTCTTTTCAATAGTTTGTAACCTTCAGTACATTCCAGTCATGACTTTCGTGTCACCATGTTTCAGTAATAGCAACTATATCATATTTACCTTCATGCATTAGTACTTCAAGTTCACCCTATTTGTTCCCTAAACTAATAAGTAAATTGCAAAATTAATGCAACAAATTAAACTGGACTTGGAAAAATGGAAGAACTTGAAGCTATCAATGGTAGGAAGGATAGCTACTATAAAAAGGAATATTTTGCTGAAACTACTCTTTCTGTTTCAAACAATTCCAATAAAACTAGAAAAAAAATATTTTGAGGAGCTGAATAAAATAATCTTGAAATATGTTTGGCAAGGGAAAAGAGCAAGAATAAGAGTGAAATTGCTGCAAGAATCTAAAAGCAATGGGGGTTTTGGATTGCCAGATTGGGAGATTTAATACCAGGCTTCTGTACTTACTTGGGTGAAAGAATGGGTAAATTTGAGGCATAGAAGATTATTATTGTTGGAAGGACATGATCTTCAGGTGTGGTGGCATGCTTTCTTGTGATATGAAAAGAATAAAATACACAGATACTTTCAAAGCTTGTGCCTTCCGAGGAGTCCCCAACCACATATAGGAGCTAAAATTATAGAAGCAGATGACTGTGGGAGGTTTATAGCAATTGAACTTTATACAGAAAATGGTCCAATTTTGGTGATCGGAATTTATGCTCCTAATCAACAACAAGAAAATTTTTATAAGACACTGTATTCTAAAATATTGCAATGGGATTACAGATCTATTTTAATTATGGGAGATTGGAATGGAGTAATTGATCCCAAAATAGATAAAAAGAGTTTGGCAAAGTCAAGGATTAGACTACCACAGACTTTTTTTGATATGAAAGAAGATCTGGAACTAAAAGATATTTGGAGAATACATAATCCAAAAGATTTGGACTTTACTTTCTTTTCAGACAGGCACAGATCCTTCTCTAGGATTGATTGTATTTTATACACTCAGTTGCCAAAGCCACCCAGCACTCCCAGGATGGGCAAGACAGTAGCTGCTGTGCCAGCAGGATGCCCCCAGGTACCCAAAGAATATAGAGACCTGGAGGACGCATTCAGCGAGCACACACACACACCACCGACCCACCACCTGTGTGATAGAATTTGTGCCAGGGGCTAAATTGCTTCCTAAGATACAACCTAAGATGTATTTCATGACCCCCTGGAAAATGAAGGAGCTGAGAAAATGCATTGACACCAACCTGGCAAGGGGGTTCATTCAGCCCGCCAAATCTAGGGTGGCCAGCCCAGTGCTCTTTAAAGAGAAGAAAGATGGGTCAATGAGGATCTGCTTGGATTTCTGTTAATTCCGTGGAATTAACACAGTATGTGTGGAAAACACCTACCCCCTGCTTCTGATGAAGGACATGCTAGCCCACCTGGTGAGGGGTAAGGTGTTCACTAAACTGGATTTAAGGGAAGCATACTACCGGGGGCGAATCAAAGAGTGAGATGAATGGAAGACTTCCTTCAACTGCCTGTTAGGCAGCTTTCAATTTAAAGTCATGCCATTCAGACCACAGGGAGACCTGCCATCTTCATGCAGCTGATCAACGAGATCAACAAGGCGGTCTTAGTCTACCTGAACAACATTCTCATATTCAGCGAGACTATAGAAGAGCACACTAAACTAGTGCACCAGGTCTTGAAAAAACTCTTAGCAACCAAGCTGTATGCAAAGCTGTCAAAGTGAGAGTTCCACAAGGCCTCCCTAGACTACCTGGGCTACCAAGTGTCAAACGAAGGAATTGAGATGGACCCAGGAAAAGTAAAAGTGGTGCTGGGCTGGCAACCCCCATGCACCCACAAGCAGCTCCAGAGTTTCCTGGGGTTTGCCAAGCTTTATAGACAGTTCATTCCAGCCTTTGCTGAAGTAGCCTTGCCCCTAACGGAATTACTGAAAACGGGGAAGGATGCCCCAAAGCCAAGGCCAAGCCAACTGCTGGTATGGTCCCTGGACTATCAGCGGGCATTTGAGAGGCTGAAGAGGCTCTTTGTGGAGGAGCCCATCCTCCAGCACCCCGACCCTGAACAGCTATTTGTCATCCAAGTCGATGCCAGTGACATGGCTGTGGTGGCAGTGCTCTTCCAACAAACCCCCAGGGCAGCTGCAACCCTGTGCATACATGTCTAAAAAACTCACCGACACTGAGAGACAGTGGGCAGTGTGGGAGAAGGAAGCCTATGCTGTCCGGTGGGCTCTTCTCTCCTGGCGACACTTCCTGGAGGGAAGCAAAGTGCCATTTGAAGTTTGAACTGACTACAAGAACCTCGAGGCACTAAAGACCCCCTGGAAGCTCTCTCCCAAGCAGGTCCACTGGACGCAATACTTCAAGCAATTCAACTTTTGAGTTAAAGTACATCCTGGGGGGATGGGGGAGAACTTGCTCACTGACGCCTTGTCCCAAAGCGTTGGAAGCATTTCTGAATGTTGACTGATCCCAAAGCTGTATCATGGACTAAATTTGGTTTCTTAGCATCTTCAAAGATAATTGCATGTGTACTCTAAAGTTACCAAAAATTGCATGTGTTCTACAGTTACACAGTTACAAGAATAAGAGCCATGGACTAATGACATAGTAAATTCATTTGAACATTGAACATTTTAGCCCTGGGTAAGTGCTTTATATGAAAACAGCAGGATGAGAGAATTCTTCAAAAGACAGACAGAACACAGTGCTGGCCTTTCCCCCCTAAATGGAAGCAATTTTCTCCAAAAATAAACAGTTTTGTAGGCTGTTACATGAGAACTTCCTCTTACCCACAGAGAGATCTTCACAATGATGAGGGAGGAGTAGAAACTCAAACACCAACCTAATGGGATAGCAAGGATCAAGAATTTTGGCAGTCAGGATTTTCCTGAAGCAGGAAGTGGTGAGGGGAACAAAGGGTTTGTAGTTAAAATATAATTGAGGCAGCAAAAACCAATTTGGGAAAGTGGAAATTTGGTGTCCCTTCCACAGATCAGTGAGATAGGGAACATGATGGCAGAATGCAGGCTCATTGGATCCTTGCAATGACTGAGAATATATAGTAAGTCAAACAGAACCTTCTTAAATCTCTCCCCATACTGCTTAATGTTATACTTCTGCAAACCTGCCTCCTGTCCAGATGACACCTTCTTGACTACATTAGAACTGGTTTTCAGAGTTCACTGAGTTATCTGGATTAGGTCCTGTAACATATTGTCCTTTTAACTATTCTCTGCAGTTGCCATAAATTCAGTATCTCACCACTATCCTAATGAGTGAGTAAATCACTTTTTAATACTGTATTAAGAGATTAATCCAGCCCCCTCACAGAAGGGAAGCAAAGGTTATGAAGTACCCTCTTTTTGTTTAATAATTCTATCTGAATTTTAAAAATCTGCTATTGACAATTTCATAATCTCTTATTTTTACAATGCTAACAAAACAGTGCCCGGTTTCTTTTCACAAGCATTTTACAACTGAATCTTATAGCATAGTAAATTTATCTTCTTCAGAAATGATGCAACTGGCTAGAATAAACATTGAATGGAAAATGGTATCAACTGTGCCAGAAGCATAGGTTGTACATGGGTCATTAGTACTTTGATCAAGTTGACTATCATTTTGGCATGATGTAACCCCAAATGTTACTGAAGGGACTCAGTGGCTCAGTGGCTAAGACACTGTGGCTAAGATTGAAAGATTGGCAGTTCAGCGGTTCGAATCCCTAGTGCCATGTAATGGGGTGAGCTCCCATTACTTGCCCCAGCTTCTGCCAACCTAGCAGTTCAAAAGCACGTAAAAATGCAAGTAGATACCACCTTTGGTGGGAAGGTAACATCGTTCTGTGTGCCTTTGGCATTAGTCATGCCGGCCACATGATCACGAAGACGTCTTTGGACAGCGCTGGCTCTTTGGCTTTGAAACGGAGATGAGCACCGCCCCCTAGAGTCGGGAACGACTAGCACATATGTGCAAGGGGAACCTTTACCTTTAACCCCAATGTTCATGTATCCCTTAAGTGTCTTTTTGTCCTGGAATTAATTCTAAGGGAAGGGAAGGATTTTGCATCAGTGAGGAAAACAAATGGGAATTTGTTGCATCTATTAGAATAATTTAATTCTAACAAGATTCGGTGTCCAAGGAGGAATGGCTAGGCTAGGCACTTCAAAAAAGATCACAGGTAATAAGTATTGCCAAAGCAGATGAAGGTCTGTCATCATGGATACTATACTGTAATTTTCTACCCTGGTTTGTTAATTTTTATCAGCTCATATTAAATGTGTGCTTGTGTGTGCTTGAATGTGTGTGTGACTGCACATGTCTACACACATGCTTGTAGGATACACATAATGCATGTCTGAGTTCCACAGCATGATCATATAATTGCTGCCCAAAGAGTGATAATCTTGAGCAATAGTTCTAAAGGAGAGTCCAAATTAGATAAGAAGAAACATCAGTTTGAATAGAAAATCACTCACATGCATGCTTTCTAAATATACAAATTTGCTCATAGTTAGCTATCACTTCAGATAATTTCAGCCTCCCCCTCTATTTTGGTAAATATCTGCTCACAATTATTCCTCCAACTCACCTGCTTTATGGGGCAAATATAAAGAAATAAAGCAGTATGTGTCCTCAGGCGCTTCCAAATGAAAACTGATTTCCACCACTCCATTCTCCGCCTTAATGCCTTCAGAATACAGATAGTCCTTGTTTAGCAATCACAGTTGGGATCAGCAATTCAGTCAATAGGCAAAGAGGTTACCAAGTGAAATGTGACAATGCTTATGATTTTATTTCAGCTTTCCTTTGTTTTACAGACCTGCAAAGATCATGATTGCAAGGCTTGGTTGCAAAGTAACTTTTCATCGCCATTGTAACTGCAAATGGTAACTAAATAATGAGGCAGTCACTAAACAAGGACTACCTGTATTGAATCCTGAAAGTTTCTCCCATTCTTCCTCTCAGACACTTACAGGATGTTATCAGGATCATCTCCATGTTCAGTCCCATTGAAAAAGCACCCTTAACCAAGTGACTGGCTTGTGGGAAATCATCTTCCCCAGCTTTCTTTGAAGTTAGCCTTTGTTCTGACTGGCTGCAATTTCATTTAGGCCCTTTTAGATTGGATTCTTGGATAACCATGGCCATGAATTCTTGATTTTCAAGTCATTAATTCCCCAATGGTTCTCTCTTCTTGTTCCAAGGCTATTTTCAAATGTTTATTTCTGATTTCATTTGTCTGATTAGAGAGCAATGAATACTAATTTATTCTCAGTAAATGATTATTGAGAAGGTATTACACAGTTGCCTGATATTCCAACCAGAGCATGATATAATTCTGCCATTCCCTCAGAAACTGCCCTTGGAAGAAGTCAGTCTTTTGCCTTAAATTCCAGTTCAACCAAGCCCCCCATTTCTTTATCAATTTAAACATGTTCTGAACTTCAGATACTGAATCACACTGTGTTCCAGCTCCATCACTGACTGGCTAAATCTTGTGTTGTGCAATAGTCCTGAATCTGTCCACAATGAAATGAGATTTAATAAGCCAGGTCTAGCCATCTCTGAATAACTCTCTTAAGAGAGTTACTATAGCATGACAGAGAAGGAAACTGTTACCCATCACTTTGTGGTCCCAGGTCTCTGAAGGAGAAGAATGATCCATTGCTCTCCAACGTAAGAATAAGAACTGGCTTTTTAAAAGCAGGCTCCATTTGACAGCGGGCAATATTTTGCAGTTTTTTTCAAATTCAGACCAGGACATGTATTCTATTATACTAATAAAAAAGAAACAATCATTGAAGACCACAAAAGCAACCATAATAGTTGCCTGAGCAAGAAAGTTTTTTTCTCACCTGGATCAGACCTACATTCCTATCACTGTTGCCTGGAGAGAGAAGGCTGAATCCACATGCTTGTCTGTCTTTTGTTTTCCCTTCTTTTCTATCCAACAGTCCAAATGTAACACTGACCCTGCAAAACAAAATTTAAGAGGGTAATGTGATCTTCCATTTTCCCATCAAATTTCCATTTTATTGTGCGAAAGGAGATATATACACACATACATTCATACATATATACATATATTCATACATACATACATACACGCCAGCGGTGGGTTGCCCCTGGTTCGCACCGGTTCAATAGAACCGGTAGTAAAACCGGCAGGAGGCTCCACCCACTGACCCCGACGTCATCAGAATGCTTCTGCGCAAGCCCAGAAGAAGCTTGCGCGCTTGTGCAGCCCCGTTGCGAGCCGGTAATAAAGGTAAGTAGAACCCACTCCTGATACACGCGCACACACACACATTCAGGAATACATGAATTTACCTTAGATTATTCAGATTCAAATCACTAGCAAGCTTTCATGGTCATTCTGCAAATGCTGCCATATACAAAAAAGCGGGCAGAACAAGAAAATTCCATTCTGAATCACCCCAATTCACGTAATATTCTTCCAGTACTTGTACTGTGAAAATTAGCATTCCTTGTCTACACAATTTCATCCAAATCTTGTTCTTGAGTCTCTTGCCTCACTCTTAACACTGCATAACAAATAATGCCACTGTATACTTGCTTATATGTTCCTAAATTTATTTCCTTTATTTAGAGAAAGGAAAACCATATCTAGAACTATCTCAAACTGACCACAGTTTTCTTCTTGTGAGATGGGACTGTCTCACTACTACATGGATTTGCAGTAGAGTAAACATGCCAACAGGTGCTCCTTAGTGGATCGATCCAACATGGAGTTGGTATACAGTGCAGTATGCCAGAGATCTGTTCATGGCCTATTGCTCTAACATTTTCCTATATGACTTAGATGAGGAGACAGAAGGGATGTCAATGATGCAAAGAAGGTGTTGGAGATGAGGTGATATTGCTAATACCTCAGAAGACAATCTCAAGATTTAAACAGGTCTTGGTACACTTGAATATTGGGTCCTGTCCAGGGGTGGGTTCTACTTACCTTTACTACCAGTTCACAGCGGAGTGAACTTTAAGTCTCCAGCATTACAGCTAGAAGGAAGGGAGACAAAATAATTTCCTCTATGAAGATGGAGGGAGACCAGATGTCGAGCCCAATCCATGGGCTTGCCAAAACTGGGGGTGGGGGCAATGCGATGAGGGCAATGGCAGCCAAGGCAGCAGGAGCAGTGACGGGTGTGGCCGAAGGGGGTGCAACATACTGGCATCCAATGGCGCACTGCAGATGGCCTAGGTGGTGACAGAGGTCCCCTGCACCTCTCAGCTGTTCCCCGGCGAAAGCCGAAATGCCACCTCACAGCTGATGGGACTGGCACGGAGATGGCTGGCCTTTCACAGCCGGGACTACCCCGACCAGGGATATAACACCAGCAATGATGGCCTGGGAGGCCACCATGGACATTGGCCTGATCGGAACCTGGCCAACTGCACCAGATGTTGGCTGCCGGGGGGGCGGGGTTAGCTGCTGGGTAATTGGGGGTGGGGCACTCAGGATAAAGACAGCACTGGAAGGCAGACGCTCCCAGCGCTGACTTCACATGGCTTAATTGCCTTTTCACCACGTTCTGTGGCTAGCCTGTTAAGAAGAAAATAAAAACCACAGTTCCAGCCACCTTCGTGGTCACTTTGTGTTTGGTTTCTTTTTCTTTTCAGACAGGCCTGCCCTGACAGGCTGAGACCAGGCTGATTTATAACAATTAACTGGTAACTACAATACTTCTGCTTGCACTTTGACTTGAAGACAGATCTATTCTGGAGACTGAATTTACTACATTTAATTAAATAATTCACAAGTGGATATTAAGAAACAAACATGAATTTTTGACCTAGGATAACCAATTATAACTTTTGGGATGATATGGGATAGTGAAGATGCAGTGGTAAATTTTCTACGATTTAATTACAATAACTGTTAACAGAGCATTTTGAAACTTTAATTTTGTTCTGTTTTACTATTGTTGTTTTTACTGTTAACTACTTTGTCACTAATATAACATACTAGCTGGATACCCATGCTCCACTACGAAACTATGCTTTTAAATGAATATTCAGAGTTTAAGAAATCCTGATTTAGAAAACGATTTAAACATTTTCTCCTTGTACTGATAGATATCCTCTTCCTCTATATAGTACTATTATTCATAATTTCTAGAGTAATGTAATTGTTAGGTCAATTTGGAATACAGTGATAAATAAAATAGCTGCTTTAATTAGATTTACAGCAGTATCTTCTTGATATTAATTGCAGCTTCCCATATTTGTCTGCTTGTTATTATTAGTCATCATACTTTTATTTTAAAATGGAAAAAACATCCATTATTTGTTTCCAATCACAGCAGCTTTCCAGGAAAAAAAGCACAAAAAGTGTATCTGTGGAATCTGAGATATTCTCTGAGCTTGGTTGTTTTTTGCAGACTAGGAAACATCATCGGTGTGAGATGCATGCACTGATGATGTTACCTTGTTGGCTAATGAAACATCTGCAAGCAAGTAACCAAGCTCAGAATGCACCGAGGATTCCATCTTAGACAGCTATATATTCTTTTTTTGTTGGAAGAGTATACAGTATGTAAAGTGGGGGAAGGAGAAGAGGAGAGAAAGTTATTTCCACACCCCAAAGCTGGGCAGAGCGGACATTTTAAAGAGAACTGAATGAAGGCTAACATTTTAGAATTGAAATGAATTATGTGGAAGTGCATAATCAAGGAGAAAAGAAAATTTGAGCTAAACATTTATTTATTTATTTATAAAATGTATTGGCCACCCATCTTACCATAGCGTAACTGTGGGCGGCTACAGTTACATGTTAGTTAAAACAAAAATGTTAAAATCAAACCTTAAAACCAAAGACACATGGGGAAGGCGGGGGCAGAGTGTGGGGGAGGTGGAATCTGTTATTCCTCAATCAACTATCTCCATGTTGCTGATCTCCTACTGGGGCCCCAAGCCGACCTGCACAGCCACGTCTTCAGGCCCTTATGAAAGGATAGGATGGGTTGGGGTCAACCTCACATCAGGGAGAGCAAGATATTTCAGAGAGCAGGAGAAGCAGCAAAGAAGGCCCTCCTCCTGGACCCCACCAGCTGCAATAATCAGGCTGATGGAATCCACAGCATGCTTCCTCTGCTGGCACAAGTGGTATGGGCCAATCCCGCTGAGGTGAGATGGTCCCTCAAGTAACCTGGACCCATGCCATGAACGGCTTTAAAGATGATCACCAACACCTTGAATTGCACTCAGAAGCAGACTGGTAACCAGTGCACCTGTGTAATCATCACTTCTAAATTGCATAAAGTCATCTATCTGGTTTTTATATCTAAGGCAGGACTCAATCTCCTGGTTTCTAGCTTGGTATACTTTGTCTATGGGCATCTTTCCAATACCTTCATAAACTTTCTGGTTTATTGATCACTACTGCTGATTTCAATTGAGATATCAGTGAAATTATATAGCAAACATGTAGATGGATGAAAACAGCAGAAGTCTTCTGGAATACCAAATTCTTTGCACTTTTCAAATATTTATAAAAGATAATATAAATGAGCATTGCACATAAATCATTCTAGAAAGCAATTGTTAAAAGCACTTCATAAGGAGCAATAATTTTCCTTGCCGCACACTGAAATCTACATGTTTTTTCCCTTCTTGGCAGCACTTACCAACACCACAAGTCCAATCTACCTATGCTTGCAGCTTTATCCATAAAAGAATCCTGTATTATAAGAAAAAATGGAAATACTATGAGTTCTGGTAAATTCATTCAAATATTTCTACCTATCCATTTCCCTACACTTTGTGCACTTATCGAGGTAGGTGTATTAAAAGCTCATTCACACATCAGTACAACAAAATACCCCCCTCAACTCCAGTCTCCTTTCACAAAAATATCTAAGAGACAAAATATAAGGGGAAGGGTGTAATGGTGAGAAGCCACACAGAAGTCTTTGTGATCTAGTGCCCTTCAGATGTTTTTGGAATATAGTCTCCATGATTGTTAGCTACAGTTCTGATGGCCCTGATAATTCCTATTTAGAACTGTAGAGGACCTCTTGGAAAATTACATCCTGGTTTTTTAGCTGCATCCTTATCCTCTAGAATGGAGAGGATGCCTTGACCAGTCCTCAGAAACATGTCTTAAAAGAGTTAGTAACTTCTGTAGGAGCTCAGGGCTATTCTTAGCATCTGGAACTCAGGGTGGAATGAAGCCAGCATTTTCAAGTACAAAGGCCTGCTTGTGTGGGGAGGAGGGATGAAAAACAGCTTGGAACTCAGGAACGATGGGAGAGAAAAACAGAAGAAAGACCCAGGAAAGAGGGAGAGGATTAAGACGAACAAATTCTCTACAAGCAGAGATCAAGAGCAGCCTTACTCTAGGGATCCCAACAAAAAGTCTCCCTGATCCAGATGCTGCCTCTGAGTCATTTCTGACTTGTTTCTGGAGATGGGGCTTGCCCAGAGGTCTGGAAAAAATGAGTAAGCATTAGAGCCCTAAATCACCAGGAAAGAGTGAAACAGAGTCTGATTCTTGCCCCACCAGGATCCAGTTGCTGTTCATGTAAAAAGCTACTACTGCATTAAGAATGAAACCTCATAGAATTGCCAAGTGATCAGTTTCAAGCCACTCCCAATCTCTTTCCCTTTCTCCTTTCTTCTTCTCCTTATAATCCTTTTTTTTTTAAAAGAAACTTGGTAGAGCCTTGGCAGTACAGTGGTCTAAAGCACCCTGTTATTAAGACCAGCTGCCTGCAATTACTGCAGGTTCGAATCTCGCCAAGGCTCAAGGTTGACTCAGCCTTCCATCCTTTCTAAGGTAGGTAAATTGAGGACCCAGTTGTGGGGACAATAAGCTGACTTTGTATAAATATACAAAAGAATGAAGGCTATTGCTTAGTGCATTGTAAGCCGCCCTGAGTCTCCGGAGAAGGGCAGCATATAAATCAAATTAAAAAAAAAAAAACCAACTCTGTTCACTCCTAGCTGCTTTA